GTCTTCATTATTCCCGTAAACTAATACAACTTTTTTTCGGCACTTCACCCTTTTTGCTTGCGTGACTTTTTTTCGCCATTAAATTAGAATTTTACTCTTTTCATCCTACGGCTGCTGTGTCTGCGCACATCACTTTTGCCCATATATCAACGGAAGCATTTGTCAACATTCGTCACTCTTTATATATATATATATATATATATATATATGAAAATATGCAGATGAATGGACAGTACTTCATCGAATGAATCAATATTTTACGAAATCGCCGAGAGCCAAAATAAACGACGGAGTTAGGATTTGAACTCTCGGCCTCCCAATGTCCGGTCGGGTGTGCTTATAATATATAATATATTATATAATATTTATTATACGAGCCACGGGCTACTTGGCATTTTACACTTCTCTTTATGGCTCTGGATTTTTTCTTCTTTGCCCACCCGTTTGACAGAGTTTCCGACCGAATTCCTCTTTCACCCAATTGACTTCCCCTTCTTCTGCGTGCTTGGTCAACTTTGCCGCACTGCCCACCGCTCTACCTTCCCCCGCTATCTGACAGCGCATGGGCAGATGCCTCTGGAGTCGGTTTTGGAGTACTTGTAGGGGACTGTGCGCAAACAATCATAGCCCCTCTGCCGAGGCCAATATATATACCCCTGGGAAGAACTCGCCGTGTTCTGGTGCGCGCGCATTGGCGAGTAAGGAACTCTTCTACACACAAATAACGCAGCTTTGGTTCTAGCGCTGCACCGCGGCCATGGACGAGCTTTGCCTTGAGCTATTGCCAGTGCAGTCTGTCTTCTTTTTCTTAATGAAGATATGGCAATAAAATAGGTACCGTCGGTTATGAGCCCCGCCGACCTGCCGTTGCGCGCTTGACACGCGATGGCAAGCCGGCGGGCCATTGAGCCCACGCACTCTCGGCGCGAGACATCTTTTCCTTCTCGTGCTGAGCTCGGCGAAAGACACGTCCAAAGGGTTTCCCGAGGTTTTTCAATAAGTCTGAATAAATTAATAAATGAAGAAAAATGACAATGGCAATAGCCCAAGGCAAAGCTCGTCCGTGGCCGCGGTGCAGCGCGAGAGAAAGCTTCGTTGTTTGTTTGTAGATGAGTCCCTCTCTCAACAATACACGCACACCACAACACGACGAGTCCTTCCCGGACGTATATTAGCCTCGGCAAAGGGGCGATGACTGCCTGCGCACAGTTCCCAACATCAGAGATGGCAGTAATGGCATTACTGTAATGGAATTACAGTACTTAAATTACTGTTTGGAGTAATGAGTAATGTAATGAATTACTTTCAGGCAGTAATTTCGAGAAAATTGCTCATTACTTTTTAAATTACTTATGTCCTAAATTATAAAATTCGTTTGCGAGCTTTACGGAAGACGAGAAACATTATTTTACATGGCAAAACGTTGTGAAAGAGCAACAAAGGAAATAATCGACGGCCACCTGAGCGCAAAGCCTTGTACGAAGAGCTGAACAGACACAGAAAGGAGGGCTGGAAAGGCGACGGAGAGCACGGCGTCGCGTCATCACGACGACACTATACTTCGTTTCTCCCTAAGCTGACAGTGCTGCGGGAGCTGCAAGCTAACCAGAACCAATTAAACACCTTCTTTTAATCACGTGTCCCGCCCCTTTCTTTCCGCGTGGGTATGAACGAGAGCGGGGTTCCCTGGCGAACGATAGACGTGTGACTGCTCCAACAAACACATGTTTCCACCGTTCATCCCTATGCTGACGGTGCGTCAGCATAGGGATGAGCGGCTCCTAGGCTACAAGACGACGGGCACGTCACCAGTGAGTTAAACGTAAAATAAAACCTGAGAGGACAAGACAAACAGATCCCCAGTCTTGTACTTTCGTCAAGCAAGGTCAAACCTTAATCTTGGACCATTGTGATTAACGAATTACCGGAATAAATAGTTAATTCCAAATGCCTTGTCAAAGCCCCAGGCTGTTTTGTGCGTCCTCGAGCAAAGCAGGTGCCACTCGCGGTATGCCTCGCTGCCTTCCCTTGGGAAGTTTATTCGGAAATAAGCCTACAAGCAGATATCGGCCCCCGTTTGTTGGGAAAGTACAATTTAAGAAGCTCGCGCCATTCCTCAACTGGCGACGCTTTTGCTTAGCAATTATCCGGGCCCTTTGTGTGGCAGTGCGCAAAAAGTTGGACTCTTCGAGCGCTTCGGAAAAATACTTTTTCAAACAAATTATCGAGAACAGGCCAACTATGCACGGTGACAACTATTCTTGGTAATGCAATGGAGGGTACAGGCACGCGTTTCCTCTCCCATTTGGAGCACTGAATAAAGCGGTGCGCGTGCTCCCCTCCTCTCCACTGCATTGTTGAGAAAAGTTATCGCCGAGTATATAGTGCTCTCGGGAGAATAGAATTCGACTACGTCCGGGAGGCAGAAACGGGACGTTTCGCGTGACGACTCCTTGTAAGAACGAGCTGCCATTGCCCGACTTAACAAACTGACATGGACTACAACTTCTAAATCAGGAAGACGGAAACATATCACCCATTTAGTGAAAACCTTCACCGTTGAATGAACAGCGAAACCGGTGAGTCGTCTGTCTTTCTGAGTCACATCTAAAGAAGCTATTCATCATGTTAAACACTTATGTCGTGTGCGCCAGCAAAACAGCTGTTCAGTATGGTTCACTTTGAGGCACATAAGGTTATTGCGGTGTAAACAGGGAGATGTGAGTTTTAGTAAATATAGACCAACTCAGCTCTTTGACGTGACATCACTGCAGTGGCGCGCCTGTCTGTAGGATCTGGTTCCTGAACACTCGCTGTGTGGGCAAACGAGGGCTTGTTTTGTAAACACTGTGTTGGTGTATACAGTAAATAAAATTAGCACGATTTACTGCTTCAAGGTATTCAAAAGTAATGTCAAAGTATTTTCATTACTTTGGGGAAGTAATTGTAACGTAATGTCATTATTTTTAGTCTGCGGTAATTTGTAATGTAAATTAATTTCATTTTTGCAGTTTTCAGAAAAGTAATTAGTAATGTATTTTAATTACTTTTTGAAAGTTATTTTGCCATCTCTACCCAACATCTATGGCGTAACCGACTCCGCAGCCATGTGCTCATGCGCTGTTGGGTAGCGGGGGGAAGGGAGAGCGGTTGGCAGTGGGGCGAAGTCGGCCAAACACGCAGAAGAAAGGGAAGCCAGTTGAGTGAAAGAGGAATTAAGTCTGAAACTTTGTCAAACAGTGGACGAGGAAGGCAAAAAAAACAGAGCCATATAAACAAAAGTAAAATGCCAAGTAGCCCGCCGCCCCCTGGAGCGCCTTGAGGGGAAGCGGGCGCTCCAGCGAGCGAAGGTCACGAGGAATGGTTCGGAGCCGTTCTGGTGTGTGCGAAATGGTGTCATCGGTTGTGTCGAGCCTGAACCCAATAAAACCCCATGCGCCGCGTGGTCTCTGTTCGTGTCGCTTAGGTTGAAGCGAAATCCCGACCGCAGCAAGTCCTCCACGAGGAGGCGCACCGTAGACGCCAACTTGTCTGGGTCGGAATGGGCGCATAAGAAGTTGTCTATGTAAGACCAAGCCCAGAGTCCACGCGCGCGCATTTCCCTGGCAATGGCTGTTGCCAAGAGGTGTATGTAAAACGGAGCAGGGAGTATCAGGAAGGGCATACGGCAAAAAAAGTAAGGCGGCCTACTCTAAATGTGGTCAGGTTACGGGAGGAGGGATGAAGCGGTGATATGGTAAAAGGCCGCGGCAAGGTCGACCTTCACCATATACGCTTGGGGCGGGAGTGGGTTTACTTTGATGACCTGGGGTAGCGCAGTAAGGCAGTACTGGGTGCCTGGAGGTAAGGAGTAAGTGCTGCGCAGTCTAAAACAAAGTGGTACTCGGTGGTTGTCTTGGATACGTGGAAGACGGGGTTGAGGCACGGACCACGTGAGGAGCGTTCGATAATGCCACCAACATGTTGGTTACGGCGGCATCGATCGTGGGCCCCTGGTCAGGAAGAGGGGGGCAGACCGTGAAGCAAGACGCCTTCGTGCTTCACGGGCGGCGCGTGAAAACGACATGCCTCACTAAACAGTGCCCAGTCGACTTGTGGTGCTGCTGGGTCGGGAGGACTGGTGGCGGAGGTCTCGTCGCTTTCGACTTGTAGGCAGTGCTACCCAGGTCCGACTCAGTCTTCACGTCGCTTTGTTTGTCTGAAGTGTTCCTTTGTGTTGGTGAGGTTTTACTCCTCGCCATTGTGAAGTCGAAGCAGTCGTCATCGGCGTGGGGCTCGATGACACTGTCGGTCCTGCTGAGCCAATCCAGGATTCGGTCGGCTCCGGTGGCCGCCGAGTCCGGATCCAATGGGTCGTTTTCTTCGGTTCAAGATCAAGCACGGGCGAGGTTGGCGGAGACGCTAGCCTAGCAAAATGCATGGGCGAGAACGTTCTAGACCGAAAAAACGTCCAAAAGCGTTGAGGAGACGACCGTGCCGACAAATGACGGCACTGGTGGTTCTCGAAGACCAAGGGTAGCTGCCTGACTTACTCAGCATTAGAGGCCCTCTTAAACTTGGTGCCTGGACGGTAGCTGGTGTCCGCGGGAGCGCGAGACGTGCGGCGTCCGCGTCGAGGTTGGTTGGGTAACTCGTCGGGGAGCTTTCCTAAAACCTCGGACTCGAGCCTGGACATCTGAGATAGGGTAGCCGCCCTTCAGTTCCCTCTCGCGACAACGTGGAAGAGTTCCAGTTTATCGAAAATGAGGTGCTGGTGTTCGGGGAGCATGGCATACCAAAGTGGAATCGATAAGGGTGGAGATGCCGGATCTCGTGGACATATCTCGTGGACAAACTTCTGGTGTTCTGGGCGAGGTCGCGCAGAAGGTCGTAAACCGGACGGACCCTCGCTCTGGGAATGGGCGGTGGGGGCTCCACCAGAGGTAGTCATATCGCGTTGCTGGCTCTGGTAGAAATGATTCCCGTAGACGCCATACCTCCGGCGGAAGCAGGGCGAGGGCTCAGGCGATGCTAGATGCGATCTCTTGCCGCGTCTGTGGATGTTCGAGACAGTGCTGACGTTCGAAAAGATCGCGTTTAGAGCTCTGTGACAGGAACTGCTGAGACTGCTGGCCGTGTGGGGCGAGACCGGCCTTGGCATCGACGATTGGAACTAGGGCAGCTCCCAAGGTTGAGGCGGAGAAGGCAGAAATGGCGTCCCCTGTCTGTTGCACAAGCGCGGCTCCGTCATCGGGGGCCAAGTGCGTTGGTCGTTCGAAGTCGGTGCATCCTTCCCTATGGCTTCTTCTCTTGTCATGCTGAGATGCGTGGCAATGCCGGCGGCTGCCATTCGGTTCGAAAAAGGGCCTCGGCACGATAAAAAAAAAAAGAAAAGAAAACTCAGAAACCCTTCGGACGTTTTCTCGTTCCTTCCGCCGCTCTCAGCCGAGCCCCAGCCCGAGCCCGAGCCCCCCTCCCCCCACCCCCGCACGCGCACGCACGCGCACGTACACGTTCGCACACACCTCTTTTTTTTATTCCTGTGTTGCTTCAAAATCGACACTCGCGACACGTTTCAGACTAAATGAATACCAGTTTTTCTTTTCCGCGAGCTCTGCATGATGGTAAATTTACCTCGTTACTTCATACTGGCTACAGCATGTCAGGAACATCGGTGGTTTCGAAAGAACCGAGTTGGATAGACATCTGAGAATTCTGATTCACTAGTTAATACCCTGAAGACAACACGTACTGAATACACGTAGCGATGTAGGAGGGCGGCCAATTTAGAAATAGACTTGTTTTTATTATAGGCTTGACCACTGATTCCAATTAAGTATTCTTAATCCTAAAGTTAGATTAAACGGAAATGTATAACCAGATGCACCACTCGCTGACAGTAACTCTCTCAAATGCCCACGACATTTCAAGATCAAACTCCGGGTCAAATTTGAGAAAAGCAATTTTTTTTATTTTTCGGTTAATATCGGTTAAAACCGGTTACCGGTAAATAATTTACGGTTACGGTTATGGTTACGGTTTTTATAAGTTTGAACTAACGGTTTTGTCCCGGTTACTGAAAAAATTTCGTCCCTAAACGGTTTTCGGTTTCGGTTATGGCTACGGTTTGAGTCCCTGCTCGAGCACCCCCGGATTCAAGCATACCGTCTCGAAATCGGGGTTGCTCCTTAGGCAGCCAGGTTGCCTCGACGCAGTGGCGGGGTACTCGCGGCAGCAGACGCACTCGTCAGCTGTCGGCATCTGCGCGCAGCATCCGCACTGCCACATTTAAGAAAAAAAAAAAAAGAGAACAGGCGTAAATGACACATACAACGGTAAGATAAACAGTGTATCGCCCACAAGTCGGTGTTGCCGATCCGCCCCGTCTCGTCGAGGGCGCAGTCTTCGTCCTCGGACATGGCCGCCTGCTCGTCCTCGGAACCCGAACACGACTCCGAAGCGCTGCTATCGTCCACAGCACACGTCGGAGTGGCGTGCGATGTGGACGATGGTGGCGGCGGGGTACTCGCGGCAGCAGACGCACTCGTCAGCTGTCGGCATCTGCGCGGAGCATCCGCGCTGGCACCTTTGAGAACGAAAAAAAGCAAAGAAAGCCAACAGGCGTAAATGACACGTACAGCGGTAAAATAAACAGCGTATCACCCACCAGTCGGTGTTGCCGATCCGCCCCGTCTCGTCGAGGGCGCAGTCTTCGTCCTCGGACATATCCGCCTGCACGTCCTCGGAACCCGAACACGACTGCGAAGCGCTGCTATCATCCACGTCGCACGTCAGGGTGGCGTCATAGGAAATCATCCCCAGGTCGGCTGTCCGCCGAAGAATTTCAAGCTCTAACGGCGTCAGGTCCTCGAGCGTAGAGCACTCCGCTATGATCGAAGCTCGAATGACAAAGAAGTTTGGCCGGTACAGCTACCTCGGAATCACTGCGCGACGGAACGTCGTCCAACTCCTTTGGCCCGAGTTCGTTTTGATCTGCGAGCGGTGACCAATCAGGGTGGTTTCGTTTTCGGATAGATCCGAGGTTTGGCGGCCTTCAATTACATTTTTATTAAAGAAATAATCACCGTATGACTATTTTTTTTTTTGGTTTTTGGTGATACTTAGGGCGTCTAGATTTATTTGTCATCATCAAAACACGAACACAGAAACCACTCAAAAACCGCCACCTTTACGTAAACGTTGTGAGAAATAACAAATGTTGAAGATCTGGAATCAATTTTCACAAAAAAAAACCCACTCTTGTAAATTTTTGGTTTTTAAATTTTTTTTAGATATAACAGTCCACCACAACAAAAAAGATAATCTAGAAGTTGTAATATTTTGGTTCCATGTCCTCTATTTGAACCGCAATCGTGTGACATATGTGCTCATTAGACTAAAATACAGAAACTCTACCCGCATTGTGCGCCTCTACGATTTCAAAAATATGTTTTAATTTTTGTTTACGTTTCTTAAAAAGCAACGTAAAGTAGGTGAACTTGTGATGTTCATTGAAATTTAAAACTTGAAATAAGAGAGAAGCCACATAAGCACATTGCAAAACGATGAGTAGCAAGTATATACGAATCAAAAGGCCACACAGCATGTAAAAAATTGTTTGTATATAGAACGGTTCAAAGTAAACGAGAGTGCTACTCATTATCCAGCCTATTATGATGAAATGATAAATTCTCACACCCTTCAAATTCTGTACATAAATATTTTGGGAATATGGACCGGGTTTTGTTCTCTTCACAACCTGCAGGTCACCGACGATGTACTGCACAGTTGTTGCACCTCAGTAATGTAAAAACGCGCGCACAGAACCAGCAAAAAACACTAAAACGTCGATGGCACATTTTTTTTGAAGATCAGTGCACTTTTTTTACTAGTTCGACCTAACTGTGAATATAAGTTTTCTCACTGTGTAAAATCCACCCAGTCCACGGTGATGGTTTTGAACATGCCGGCACGCACTCACTGATGATCTAAACTTCGGGACACAAAGCGTTACGTACATTCTTTGACACGTGTATGCAGCTACTCTTGGCTGTCGCAAATCTTTTCTAGGGAAATGTTCAAGGCGCTTTCCTCCAATGCCTTCCTCCACACGTGTGAGGATCGGATGCCCCTTGGTGGGTTTACCTTTTCCACACTTTTTTTTTGGGCCCCCGAAAAGGCGTGAGCTTCTCTTTGAAAATTGAGAACAGGACGACCCCTTTGACTTTCGGTCTGAGTACCTCAACAAAGCTTTGTACCTCAACAAAGCAACAAAGAATACAGTTATGTAGTTGTCAAGTTATACATTGATGATGCCGGGTGCTTGAGCACGCCGCCCACACCATTACATGAGCTTTTCCCGTGCCGTGATGCGGATAATATCCACTTGGAGACGACATTCTTTTTCTTGAATCCGTACACCTGGTGCCTTTTCTTTTAAGGGGCTTGTAGCACCCTCTGAAATATTAACGAGTTCCGTGAAAAAAGGCAGTTTTTGTTCCAGCCGGCCATCGACAATGTTGAGCTTAAAGAGCGCGTGGGATGAGTCGTGTACGATGTCGGCGCTCACTACGCCGAAGATTAACGTTTCCCCTTCGGTCGTAGCCGCTCGGGTAAAGATGGAAACCGTCTTGCTGTTCCAGTGATGTCCTTGCACCGCGCGCTGGACCACGACACTCCAGCTTTCAGCAAAAACGAAGTGCAAGATGACAGCACGTGACTTCACGTGCGCTCTCTCGAGCCATATGGCTCTTCGCTGGGCGCGTCTGATGAAGAAGTGGAGAATGTATTTTTTCTACACTTCTGAACCTTAGTAAAATATATATTTTTTATCAACTTGCCACCGCACTCCCACTGGGAAACCTCCTGTACGTCCTGGTGATCGTGTCCTAGCTTAGCCAGCGATTAGTCATTACTTTTCAAACAGACTTCACATTTTAGCAAGAAGCAATATGGCGAAGGGGTCTTTTTCGAAAACGTAAACAAAAATAACAACATATGTCTGAAATTGTAGATGCGCGCAATGCCGGTAAAGTCACTGTATTTTACTCAAATGAGCACACCTTTCACACGATTGCGGCTCAAATAGAGGCTCAAATATCTAAAAAAAATTTCAGAAAATTACAAAACGGGGGTTTTGGAGAAAATCGACTGCATACATTCAATATTTCTCATTTCTCAGAACGTTTACTTGAAAGGGGAGAAGCGACTGGTCGACAAAGTATAATTATATTATATATAAAATCGGCTTGCTTTGGGCATTCTATACAGCTAAAGAAAAATAATATACCTTAAATGCAGACAAAGTAAAGACCTGTAAAATTTGACCAAAAATGAACCTGAACAATGAGTTTGATATTTTTTTCTTAATAACGAAAAAAACATTCTAAAAATATTTGAATACATCAAGGTATTTGTAGTACTTATTAAATGGGGAGAAAAAGTTAAGATGACGGAGGAAAAAAAAGTAGCGGCAGCAGAGGGTGTCAAACGCGCGACCTGCGACGGCAGGCAAAAATACTAATTTCTGGCACTGCGGCTTCTATGCTTCGTAAATCCAGAATAAAACATATGGGAAACATGCGGTTTGCGCCCTCCTTCATTTAAGAAATGCCCCCAAAACATATATCTTTTTTGCGAAAAATAAAACTTAGACCCGTTTAGCCTGCCCGATATGAGATGAAACCACCCTCAGGCATTTCCCGTTGCATATAAGTCAAAAGTATTTCAATATCTGTGTTTTGGACTTTAAAACATATGTATCTCAGTGTTTGTATTCCCGAATACGTTTTGGGGTATCTCTGCCGAGCCCTGGTCAAGTGACCTCACGTCAAGTGGCACAGCGTCACGGACGCCGTAGCCATACGTGACATGACGTCAAGGGACGTGGTCACGTGATGTGACGTAACGAAACACCACGACTTGATTCCTGACGTTACCACATCAAGGAATGCCGTTTGACACATGCGACGTCGAGCGAAACCAAGATCTTGCGCCGTTGGTCACGTGATCTAACTTCCATTGGCGTCAGATGCCGCCACGGGCTACGGGCGCCATGATTAACGAAGGCAAAATCTGAGCTTGCGTCCGTTAGAATGAAAATCTGCCTTAAAATGACGGATTCGTACCGATTGAAATAGTAACGCCTCATTTCCATCTGAGAATCTGCGGGGCGGGGCACCCTTATTATTGATGCACCCTTACTATTTCGATATATTAATATATA